TGTGGGCAATGGATAATGGTTATAATTAAGTGACAGAGAAATAATATGTGCATGGAAAGCTGGAAAACACAATGGAGGAGAGTAGGGAGGTTGGGGAGGAAATCGTATTTTTACTCACAGAAGCTGCCCAATCTAAATGCCAACGGTTTTTTTTGTTGGAGGCGTTTTTTTGTTGTTGGTTTTTTTTGAGGAGAGAATTAGTAAGGGGGGCTATTGTGGCATATATCTTGCTTCTGGCTGCCAGCATTGTTTGCTTGATCAAACAGTTAACACCTCAAGGCAGAATCACCCAATTCACATCCTGAATAGGCAATTGCTTACAACTTTTGTTTGGAGAAAAAAGTCATGATGACTCTTTAATTGGATTGACTACTCTTTCAGCTAATTTTCTTATGCTGCTTTGTTGCTGCTTATGCTGGGACCAGACAGAACAAGTTGAATATGGAAGGGGAGCTCCTGCTCTGAGGGTCAGTGAATGACTGGTTTTGTCTTAGCCGTGGGTGGGGGTGTATAAGTAAGTCAACACACAGCTCCAAGCTGCTCACTGAAAGCCACCAGTGTGGCATTAAGGACAGGGGAGCCTGTCGGCGAATCCTGGTAGCATCTTGACCAGATTTATAATTTTAGTTTCGGTTCTCTTGCCTTAAAAATGAGAAAATGTCTTGCAGGTTTGCATTAGGATGAAATTCTATCACTTGTGTGGAATTTTAGCGCAGGGCCTGATATGCCAAAATAAACAAAAGACAAATAAGTGCATACACACACACACACACACACACACACACACACACACACACACGGCCTTCAGAAGTCCATTATCTTCTCCTTCCATTTTCTGTGAACGTTTTGAAGCCACCTAGTACACAGTCTGGGTGCATGTGTGTCAGTTTTGCGTAGATGAACGTACATAAAGAGAAAACCCGTGTTCTATGATGCCAGCAGTCACAGGGTGGCAGGGTGAGAGATGGGAGACTTGCCAGGCAAAAAGATAGTTGTTTGTTTGTGTCTTTCTCTCTCTTTCCTTTCCTTTTCCTCTTTCTTCAGATGAAGAGGACTAGGGTGCGGGAGGGAGGAGGGAAATGAGGAGCTGATACTGAATAGAAAGCAAGTGTTTGGAGAGTGATGACGGCAACACATGTACAGATGTGCTTGACACGATGGGTGGATGGATGGATTGTGATAAGAGTTGTATGAGCCCCCAATAAAGTGATTTTTAAAAAAGAGGACCAGGACTACAGTGTGTATTGTTTGCTAAGGGGCTTAGTGTGCAGATGCTAGGAGATTCCCAAGAGGGTTACTGTGATTTTATAGCTGAAGATTTGACATTTGAAAATCCTTTCCCCCCGAAGTTGAGGTTTATAGTCTCAGAAAATATATTAATGTCTCTCTGTATGAATAGTATATATAGACATGTAGTCCAAGGTGAAATATAATTAGTTGAAGTTTATCCACACCTCTGCTTCCTCAGCATTTTTGTAGAAAAGTAAAAAGCACTGTTCTGCGCCATCACCACGCTGTCAGTCCATCTCCCTGAGGAGCCTTCTCTTTTTTTGGCTAACCATCTACTTTTCTGAGCGTGGTGTCCTCCTTCAGGGGCTGGTCCCTCCTCACAGTGGGTCTGAAGGCCTCCAGACAAAGCCTCACCATGTTCCTTTCTAAGAAACATTCTGCTGGACTTCCCAAACAGATATGTTCATTTTTCAGGCAGCTCGTGGTATCTTTAATGCCGCTTGCCAATCTCAGTGGATCAATTCTTCTTTCTTTCTGGTTCAGCTTCTGAGACGACTGTAGATACTTGTGTCAGGTGCACCTTGGTCCTCAAACGAACACCTTTGCTTTTGAACACTGGGAAGAGGTTTACCCAATGAACTGTTGTTAGGTGCCATCAAGTTGACACAGCGCAGTGACATTAAGAACAACAGAATGAAGCAAGTGTGGGCCTTCGCCATCCACAGTTGTTGTGCTTGAGCTCAGGGTTGTGACACTGTGTCAATGCAATTCATCAAGGGTCTTGCTCTTCTTTTGCTGATTCACTACTTTACTGAGCGTGACGTCCTTCCCCAGGGACCTGATAACATGTCCAAAGTATGTGAGATGAAGTCTTGTCACACTTGCTTCTAAGGAGCACTCTGGATGCACTTCCTCCAAGACAGATTTGTTTATTCTTTTGTCCGTCCGTGGTTCTGTCAATGTCACTCACCAATACCACAATTCAAGTGCACCGATTCTTCTTCAGTCTTCCTTATTGTCTGTTCAAATTTCACGTGCATACGAGGCCATGGAAAACGTCATGGCTTGAGTCAAGGGCATGTGAGTTCTTGAGGTGACATGTTTGTTCTTTATCACTATAAACAGGTCTTGTTTCTGCCGATTTGCCCAATGCAGTACACTGTTTGATTTCTTGACTGCTGCCTCTATGAACATTGATGGTGGATCCAAGTTGAATAAAATCCTTGACAACTTCAACCACTGTTCCACTATCATGACGTTGCTTATTGGTTTAGTTGTGGGGATTTTTGTTTTATTTACGTTGAGTTATATGTAAACCATTCTGAAGGCAACAGTCTTTGTTATTTATTAATAAGTCCTTCAAGCCTTCTCATTTTCAGCAAGCAGATCACAAATTGTTAATGAACTTTCCTCCCATTTTGATGTATGTTCTTATTCATATAGTCTAGCTTCGTGAATTATTTGCTCAGCATGCAGATCGAATGAGTATGGGCAAGGGATAAAGCCCGGACACACACGTTCCTTGACTTTAAACCACATAGGGCCCTATTGCGCTTATCAAAGGACTGCCTCTCGGCTACGTGGAGGTTTCTCGTGAGCACAATGAAGCGTGGAATTCCTGTTTTTCCCAATATTGTCAATAAACACAAGTAAACATCTTTCTGGCATTCTCTATTTTCAGCCAAGATCTAGCTGACATCAGAGCAATAGCACTCATTCCATATTCTCTTCCGAATCTGGCTTGAATTTCAGGCAATCCTACCAATGTACTGCTGCAATCATTTTAAAATTGTCCAGCAAATTTGATAATTTTCACGTTCTGTTGCATCACTTGTCTTTGCAATGGGTACAAGTAGGGATTTCTTCCCATCAGCTGATTTCTTGGCATAGACAGGTGAGTGCTTTGCAGCATTGCGCTCATCTGTCGAAATACATTCCGGAGCCTCGTGTTTGCCAATGCCTTTGGTGCACCTTGGGCTTCATCCTTCAGTGCTGTCGATTCTTGACCACATGCTACCCCTTAACGTTCTCCTATTAATGTTAGAGGAGCCTGTGTAGATTGTTTTGGTTATAGTTGAAACTGATATAAATGGGAAAACAAGCCGCAGAAACTGCCTTTGACTGCAGGCAATACAAGGGAATGTCTAGGAAGATAGTTAACAGGATAGCCTCCCCAAACATGCTCTTCTGAAAGAAGAGGTGCGAGGGAAGGACAGTGGGTATGGGTTTCTCTGAAACTGATTTAGCTCCACCACATTGTGTATCCTCGTTCACGTTTCAAGGTACTAATAGAATAAGTAGGACTGTCATTGGTCAGGTGCCTAATACATTTTGTGATGGGGGTTGGTACCTGACAGCTCTAGGAATTATTTTGAATGAAGCAGCAGATATTTGTCATCTATCCTCATAAGTATTATTTGTACTGGCTGGACCTTTTCAATTACTTTGGGTTCGTGAGTACTATTCAAGTACTTTCGGTTTTATATATTCCAACGTTTGATTTTATTTTTAACCAAAGAGTTATAGTTTCCATTTAAGTTTTGCGGTTATGGCTCAGAGTGAGCGTCTGTGTGTGTGGTCCGGGTGTGCTTTTATCCTTTTAATTAATGTTATACAGTGCTCAGGTTCTCGTTATGCTGGTTCGTTGTTCTTTGAATTAAGCTTAGTAGTATGACTGCAAGGCTCATTTTTGACATGGTTCAAAGACGACTTTGAAGTCGTTCATGACTAGACTTGAAAGCTGACATGACCTCTTACTGTAGTTCGAGTTTAAAAATACTCCCCACTTCTCAGACAGTAGAACAAAACAAAGAAGCTAGTCATTCAATAATAGGTTTGTTCAGATGGCATTTTAGTAGAAAACTTTGACTACATTTGGAATTAGCATGAAATCAGTAGGACCTGATAGTGCTAGGATTAGTGAGAGGCGATAAAAATTTGTTTTCCTGAAGAAAGCAGCTGTCTTTTAAAAATTTTTGCTGCTTTCCTCTTTTTCTTCTTCTAATTGGCAGGGGGGAAATGGAGTCATAATACCATGCATTATCAATAATAAACATTCCAGTCCATCTTTATTTCAAATAAAGTGGGAAGAATAATGCATTCGTTGGAATGTTTTTTACCTTCTTTCTTTATCTGTACGTAACACATGCAACACCAGCCAACCCACTGCCATCAAGTCAACGCTGACTCCTAGTGACCCTGTTAGGAGGGAGGAGAACTGCCTTTTGAGCTTTCCCAGAGTCAGTCTTTACAGGAAGGAGCAGCCACCCTCATTTCGCTCCCACCGAGCACCGGGTTGGTTTGAACCGCTGACCTTTCGGCTCACACTCTGAAATGCAGCCCACTGCACCCCCAGGACTCCTTCATGCCTAAAAACAAAATCAAACCCGCAGCCACTGAGTCGATTGCAGCTCATAACAGTCCTACAGGATGGAGTAGAAACTGCTTTGGGGGGCTGCCCAGACTTTAAATCTTAAAGGGAGCAGTGAGCCTCATCTTTCTCCTGCAGAACACTAATGGTTTTGAATTGCCGACTTTGAGGTTAGCAGCCCAACTTGTAGCCCACTCTGCTACTAAGCTTCTTTGCATACATTCACGGTGTGGTGGTGGTAGCTCAGAAAGTTTATGGAAAAATGGAATTTTCCATGAACTTTTCAAAGCCCCCTTATGTGTCTACAACGTTTTTGTTAGGCAGATGTCCTGAAGGATATTTGAAAACCTACTGGCCTGTGCGGTCTAGGATCTAACCTGTTGCCACTTTTTCCTTCTAGTGTCGGTATTCATGCTCAAGGTCCAGGTGAATGACATCATCAGTCGTCAGTACCTGAGTCAAGCCGTCGTAGAAGTGTTTGTAAACTATACAAAGACAAATTCCACAGTAACTAAAAAAAATGGAGCCGTGTTGATCCAAGTGCCCTACAAGCTAGGGCTCAGCCTAACTATTGTTGCTTACAAAGATGGCTACGTGTTGACACACCTGCCCTGGGAGACTGGAAGAATGCCAAGTAAGCACTGAAATCGTCGTAATGCTTTACATGTCCATGAGGTTTTCCTTCTGTTTGGGACATCTCTTGACTGGTAACCTGAAACTGAAAATGTTTATGTGAAGTCCTTGTAAAGTAGGTTAGGCAGTTTGAAGACGGTAGGGAGATGTGTTTTTTGTTGTTGTTGGAAAGAGTTTTGGAGGAATCCGCAGCAGCTCTGCTTTGCCGCAGAGGCTGTCTGCTGGTGGCGGTGAGCGATTGGCAGGCCTGAAGCTTTCTTAGAAGGCGAGGTGCATCCAATTAAGTGGGGCCAGATGATGATGTTATCGAATGATGAAACCAACGGTTTAGGTATATGAGCTAAAGAATAAGACATGGAAATTTTTCATCACACTGAGTGGAAATGGGATCGGAAGTGGGATTTGCTTGGTGGTGTATGAGGAATGGGCCCGAAACAGAGCTACCGTGGACTCAGGAGATCTAGCTGGGAAGCTGGGGCGGTGTTCCTGCCCAGTGGAAAAGAAGAAAATAGAAAATATTTGTAAAACAGACAGGAGATGTCCAAGGATTCCTTTTGGCTTTCTTGTGATTTTTTTGCCCTCCGTATTTTATGTGCTTCCTGTAACTTTTTAAATTTAAAAGTTGTGGCAAAATAGATGCGCTAAAGCTTTCATGCTTCCAGTTTCTCCATTGGCAGTGCTTGTGAGTGCAGTGCTGGTGGTGAGCGCGGCTCTTCTCTGTTCTGAGTGACTGTCCGTCAGTTTCCCCTCTGCACAACCCGTCGGGACAGAGCGATCCTTGTCCTGCCTTTTCCCCACGTTTCATCAAATATTCTAATTGTGTTCTATTTCACAGTCTATTCATCAGTTACACTTTCGCTGTTCCCACAAAGCCAAGCAAATATTTGGCTATTTGAAGACACTGTTTTAATTACTGGAAAATTAGCAGGTAAGTACAACACTTTTTCTAATATTATACAAAGTATTATATAACTGTACTTCACTAATGTGGGAAATTATCGGGGATGACCAACCAATTTTTGTTTGACTTTGAAACTACAGTATGACTTTATGACGCAGGAGGAAAATACATGTATTTTTTCATGCCATTTTAACTTCTAAAATGGAAACATCTGAGTTTCTGAAAGACATCTTCTGTCTTTTATTCCAAATCACATCTTTTCATTCATCCTCTGGGGATGTTCGTGTTTGGCGACATTGGGAAAAAGACGGATCATGTGCCACTGGGACCTTGGGTTCTCTGATTTGCGGGTCCCTTGCATCCCTGCCTCCAGCATTCATCTGGTGGCCTTAGAGAGCTGGGTAATTTATTATGCGCTCTGCAAACCTGCCCTATCCCATTTGCATGTCCTACCATGGTGGGGGTGGGGTGGGGGGGAGAAAGCTTTGTTTTGAATAATGATTTAAGTTACAAGTCATGTAGTTTAGCTTTACCAACCATGGAGATTTTCATCTCTCCCCCATTTCCCCCTGCCCTCTCTGACTCTTGAAGCAGAGTGAAGAACTGCAAGGCAGGAGAATCAAGTTAGAAGGGCAACTCCAGGTGATATGAAACAAACAAATAAATAGTCAGTTAGGGATTGCAAATAAGAGTTACACAGGGCATGTTAGTGAAGCTCAGAGGTCATTCTATCTGCTTTGTAAAGGTGAAATATCCCGATTGATGATTCTATGCATTTGCTTTGTCTATTTACTTATTTGTTTATTTATGGGGGTTTCCTTGTTCCAGATGCCAAATCTCAACCGAGTGTTCAGTTTTCCAAAGCCTTAATTAAACTGCCTGAGAACCATCATATTAGCAATGTTACAGGATATCTTACAGTCTTACAACAATTTTTGAACGTGGACAATTTTCTGTATACAACTGGAATTACTCTCAATAAATCAGGTAGTATATATATTTTACATAATGTAATTATATTGAAAAGAAATATCAGAACATTAATCTTTGACCAAATACATCTTATTTCAATATTTGATATTGAACTGAGCTTTAGAGGATATATGCCACCTTTGAAGAATACTTAAACCAGAGTCTTCTGCATACAGTATTTCAAATCCGTGGAGATTTTTATTTTTTTATTTACAGGATATTTTGATTCAAAGAAAGTAAAAATGGGATAACGATTAGGACTAAATATGACTTTTTTAATTAAAAAATACACTTAAGTATTTGATTCCAAGAAGTTTACACTTATCTATTCATACAGCTCGATCGTCTAATCATTCTTGTCAAACCGATCAGAAGATTCACTAATGACGATCTAAGAAAGAAGTTAACAGGGAATCCAAGACATAAACCCCTCAGGAGCAATAGTGAGAGTAGCGATAGCAGGAGGGTAAAGGGAAGGTGGGGAGTGGAAGGGGGAGCTGATCACAATGATCTACACCTAATGCCCTCCCAGGGAGACAGACAACAGAAAAGTGGGTGAAGGGAGACAACGGTCAGTGTAAGACATGAAAAAAATTAATAAATTATCAAGGGTTCATGAAGGAGTGGGGAAGGGAGGGGAGAAGTTAGTAGAAATATAATGGATACAGAATATCTGTTTAGGGACAATTCTTGGAAGTAACTAGTAGTGATTGTTATACAACATTTTAAATGTAATTAATGGCACTGACATGTATACTCAAAATGTTTAAAGTGACAAATTTTATCACTTTAAATTTTACCCCAGTTTTTAAAAATTCTCAAATGAAAGCCAAAATTTGAAATAAAATATAAATATTTCTTCACCAGTATTTATTATTCTCTAAGTATTGGGAATATCTCTATACTAGAATTAACAGACCTAATATGTTTATATGGACCTGTCATGATCTAAAAGTTAAGTGAATGGATGAACTTTATGTTTTGACAGTGCCCATGAATCTCCTTTTTAAAACATTCTGTAATGCCCTCTGTGTATCCAAATTCTACCATTTCAACCGCTTTTTGTATCATGTCTGAAACTCTGAATCTAAAAGCACACCAAAAAAAATCACCGTCAGATAATGCCTGTTTCTGAAAGGTTTAGTTACATCAAATAGGGTTTTTTATTTGGGAGTTCATTTCACCTGCTGTACTTGAGCTGTCTAGCCTCTGTTCTCTTTCAAGCCTGTGTTTTTCGTCTTTGTACCTGTGACACTAGGGGTTAAGGCATCGTGGTTATTCCCTGGGCTGCTAACTACTCGGTAAGCAGTTCAAACTCCTCAGCTGCTCCTTGGGAGAAAGACAGGCTTTTTCTACTCCCATAAACTGCTACAGTCTGGGAAACTGACAGGGACAGTACTGCCCTATCCTGTAGGGCTGCTATGAGTCAGAATTCACTTGATGGCAGTGAATTCCTACGACCATACTCTGAAAAGCTGTCTTGAGCCTCACCTGTTGGGAAGAACCCGCAACCAAGATGAGCAAGTGTTGGCATATAAAAATACACCAGGCCTCTTGCCTTGACTATTACAACTCTGAAGCCAGCCAGACTCCGTGAAGTTGCTCAGAGACCCTCAGTAGGATTGAACCTCAGTAGGGTGTTCATTAAACATCTTGCGTTGACTTTTCCTTCTTCTGAATTACTTCTCGGCTTCCTCTTGAGAGTATTGCCAAGTATTACCTGTAATGATTTGCACTGACTTATTGTTATCTCAAGCTCCCTGATCGAAAGACCCAGCTCTTTGCTTTCCCAAATATTACAGCCTACAGGAACTGTGGATCAGTTTCTTTTCTGTCAGGTGAGGTTGCTGTGGGTTAGAGGTGACTTGACCGCACTCAATAGCAATATGTAATTACAACTTTTGTTTACATTTTATTTTAACAAAATGCCTTTTTTTCCTTTCTATTCTTTCGCTTTCAGGTTTTGAAAACATTGAAATAGCTCCTCTTGCTGCAATATGTGTGAAAATATATTCCGGAGGAAAAGAATTAAAGGTGGACGGTTCTGTTCAAGTGTCTCTTCCCCTTCTACACACCAATGGTGTGAATGCAGGAGACCATGTACCCGCTTGGAAATTTGATATGAGCATGGGTATGTGACCTCGGTGAAACTATTCCAAATATTTTAAATATGCCTTTGTACATTTCCCAGTAACATTTCCAGTGACAAAAATTGACCTCATTTCTATAACTATGGGGAAAATATGCCATTACATTATATCAAAGAATAGCATGATTTTCTCACATTCCATTCTGAGACTATGGAATGGTGGGCATTTGGGGCGAAAAACAAAAGAATATAACAGAACTGTACAAATGTCTACTTAGGAGGTGAGCAGTATATACTTGTGTTTTTAAGAATGAGTGGACACTGTACAAGTGGTAGTGGCAGCATGCCACTGTAAATACAGTACATAGTAGAGGACTGAAGGTCTGGATTTAGCCCATTTATCAGCACTGTGATTTTGAACGAGTCATTTAACTTACTTGGACCTCTTTCCTAACCTGTTGAACTTACTGTTGATTTACTATAAAGACAAATAGCAAGAGGAGCTGATCCCAAGGGCTCAATGGAAAGTAAATGTCTAGAAAAGAACGATGGAATATATGTACTATTATGTCGGATACAATTGATGTATGGATTGTAATAAGAGTTGTTAAGAGCCCCCAATAAAATGATTAAAAAAAAGAAAGACAAATAGCTTCTCTGCTTCAGTCTTATTTCTGATTGCTATTCCTGATAAAGACCTCTGTATTTAATGTACCTTGAAGTGACCAAAATTGACTTGTCTGGTTTCATTTAATTTAATGTAATTATTTAAAAGCAGTAGGTTGACTGAGTACTATTATTTTCAATGCCTTGATTTTATAAAGAAAACACTAATTTGAACGCGATAAGTCACTGTAACAAATTAATGTCAACTATAAATATACACTGAATTTAAATAGATATGTGACTTACATTAAAGGCATGGGTTTTCTATAATTTTTTTAATGGATAATAAAAACTTTATTAGATCGTTTTTTAATTAAAAATGATTTTTGGTATTCTTTGTATGACTATCAGCTTTGAAGCATATAAATAATAACTAGTTGATTTTTGTTGTTCTTAAATGTTTGATTATTCTATTCCAGGGGTTGAGTTCAGACTAACATTTTTAATTTTCTTTCACTCTTAGGTGCTTGGATAAGTCATGGCCAGGGTATAGTCAAGAAATATAACAATCATTTAATTTGGACCTATGATGCACCACACTTAGGCTACTGGATAGCAGCGCCATTTCCAAGAACTCGAGGTATGGTAAACATGGAGCCAAAAGTGGGGGGTCTCGACTGATATGAACAGATCTGGATTTTATTCTAAGCATTGCCATTTAATCTGGTCCATGATGTTGGGAAAAATCACTTAATCTCTTGATCTCAGGCTTTATGTTTTATTTGCTTCTTTCTCTGTGTGTGTGTATGATTAAGCGAGATGAGCTCTAAGGTCCCTTTTACCAATAATGTCTGATGGGTCTGGAAATATGAGGCTTGTTCAAAAAGATGAATTTTCTTTTTTTTAGTGTACTAGTCTTTTAAAAAATTCTTGAACAAACTAGTTTAGAGCTTTGTGGGTGCAAGACACAGAAATGGATTCTGGGTAACTAGGTATTGGAAGGATATGAGCAGCTCACACGATAGCAGGGAAGTCTGACGAACCAGATGCTAAAAGGCAAGAAATCCAGCAGCACCGGATGGCCCAGGGAGCTGCCCGTTTGACTGCCTCCCAGCTCGCTCCTGCTTTGGGATGGCTCTCACACTTTGCAATGTTTTCTTCACTTTGTTCAGGATTGTTCTAGAGTGGAAGAAGCTGATTGGCCCAAACTTGGGTTATTAAATCCTAGGCAAGGGAGGGAGGAAGGGCACTTGAGTAATAGTATATCCAGAATGTTTTATAAGAAAAGACAGATGATATCCCAAATGAAGACTAGACTGACGTGAACAGAGAGAAGGTATGTGGAGGATAACAGTCAAAAAGAATTTTTGCTGTGGATTAATCACTAGATCCTTACTGTTTACTGATCCTGATTTATGATAACTTATTTACTTCCCTGATAAACCCCCATCATTGTGAAAAATAAAAAAGAATTTTCTATAAGGGAGATATTATTCCTATTCCAGGAAGATTAATATTTTTATTTTCTAAATTAAATATGGTATTGTAATTTGTACCTAAGGAAACATCATTCAGTTCTAGCTGTGTATATCTCCTCTCACAATATACAAACATATGATATATTTTGTTCATTGAATCTTGAAAAGTTAAAAACCAGCCCAGTATAATCTAGATAAGCCATGAATCTGGTATACACCTCTTATCCCAGACAACTTTCGTCATTCTTTTGGAAGGTTATTTATTTTATTTTTTGCCAGTTCTTAGATTTTATTGATAATTACAATGTCTGAACAGTAGTGTATTTTTAAAAAAATTCTGTATGAAACCTAAAATTATGCTTAGATGCAACATACTACAACACATATACTGATTTCTAGGACAACAATTTTGCAAAAACCACATGAGTAATTTATACAGAACTATTCAGGAAACAAAATAATTCTTTTCCCTTTTTTTGAACGTTATTTTTATTATTTTGTAACTCATCTTTAATAGGCCTTATACTTTTCTCTTTTTTTGGTTTGATGGCATTGTTTTGAAGCAGTCGAAGACTAGAAACCACGGAGAAAAAGTACATGGGAACTATATTTAAGCCTTCATGCCTGGAAGCCGTATCTTTATACTCATGCGGAATGGATAATTTGGTTGAGCATAGAATTCTGTAGATGGGCAAGAATTTCAGTGTGTTTTTGAGAAGTGGGATGCTATTCGAAGACGTTCAAATGTAGGAGGCTAGGATGTATACCTGAATTTTCAATATGATAACCTGCCCTATTTAAGGTTTGTGGCCTCCAGAACAGCGTCAGTTTCTCAGTCTCTGTCTCTTGACCTCTCCGGAAAGATTAATTCTAGAAGAAATGTTTCAAGAACGGTGGAGGTGAGCTTGCTGGCAGAGGGCATTTAGAGATTTTCCTTAAATTTGCAACCAGTTATCCTATTTTGTGCCCCATTTTCACTTCCCTTTCCTGAGCAGCCTGTTACTGCCCATCTCTGGGCTCGCTGGTTGTTTAGAGGCTTCTTGCTTTCCCCGGTGCCCCCTCCAAACCAAACTCACTGCCATCAAGTCGGTTCTAGCTCATAGCAACCCTTTAGGGCAGAGTAAAGCTGCCCGGTGGGTTTCTGAGACGGAAGCTCTCACGGAGGTAGAAAATACCATCTCTATCCCATAGGGCAGTTGGTGGTTTTGAACCGAAGTAGACTTTGTGGTTAACAGGCCAGTGCATAAACCACTACACCATCATTGGCGCTCGGCTTTCTGGCATTCAGTATGCATGCGTATTTACAGAAACAAAATACAACTTTTAGTGCTATTGAATGCGATTTTAGGAGAGTGGGTGAATACGTGGCATTCCTCCGTCTTTCATCACGTGTCAGAGATGATTCTTTTAGCTTTTCTAGTGTCTTGGCTCTGAGGTGAGAGGCAGCTGTTATCTGGTAATTTCATGATGGTCAGAAGTATTCTCAGTTCACAACCTGACCCAAACGGTAGTGACATTTTACATGTATTTTGCAGTAGCTTTATAGCATCTAAGACATCTTGCTTTGAAGATTTTCAAGGTTTTTTTTCTGGAAAGGGTTTTGTTTTAAATCCAATTTTATTGTTATTGGCATTTTAGTTGGACAGTTGTCATTGTGTGCTTGCTTTTCAGCCATCGAGTGTACCAAGACCCTTTTCTGGGAAGCCAGATTGGTATTCCAGTAGAAGACCCATGCACTTTTAGCCACACGTGATCAGCAGAGGTAGTCTCTCTGTGTAGATTCGAACCTCATGAACCTCATGCTTGAGAGGTGATTAATTCAGAAATCCGAGGGTGGTTACTTTTGTTATTCATGATGCAAAATATCATGCAGTCTTGCCAGCTGTGTGGCCTTATCCTAGTCCAGATCTGCGACTATAATGAAATATTGATGAAAAAGAATAATTAATATGTAATTTCATGCTTGAACTTGAAGTGAACTCAAGCTATTTCATTTTTAATAATAATAACCAAGGAGCATTTGAATTTCATGAAATAAGTAGAATTTGTGCTTCATAGAATATGGGATTCCCTTTTAGAGTATACATTACACACCTTCTCCATATCTCCAAAACACATTTGCAGTGTGCTGTACAGATCAAAAAACTCAAACTCCTGCCATCGAGTTGATTCTGACTCATAGCAACCCCATAGTACAGGGCTGAACTGCCCCTGTGAGTTTCCAAGATTGTAACTGTTTAAGGGACTAGAAAGCCTCATCTTTTTCCTGAGGAGAGGCTAGTGGTTTTGAACTGGAGATGGGAGGGCTCTGTTTTGTAAGCATATCCCAGTTAAAGGAACATTTTGCTACAAGTATGAGTAACTCGATTGTAACTCTGGCTTTGCCAGTAGATGAATGACTTGCAATAGATGTTTTTTTTTTCTATGTGAGTCTTTGATTTCTTGTTTCTAAATAGGAGGTGTTGAATATAACAATCCCTAAAGTCTCTGAACATTAAATGGTATTGTAAAATAAAAAATTGGTTCTGAATAATAAGTTAGGGCTACTTTAGTAAAAATGTGGTTAATAACACACTAAATTGTTTTGTTTTAAAATTATATCTGGATGGAATTCTAGAATTCTCAAGAAAAACAAAAAACAACTATTGTTAATTAACATCATTATTTTTCACACCCAGTGCCGCTTCCCAATCTAGACTCGACGGGAGCATGTACATAGGTGTAGGCAAGAGATAAAACTCACAACACATGGAACCCAGGAACAGGAATGGGAATAGTGATACCAAAAGGGTAGGGGAAGAGGGGAGAGGTGGGAGGGAGGGGCCCCGATCACAATGAATGGCACATAACCACCCCCCCAGCCAGGGGGAAGAGCAACAGAAACCAGAGGGGAAGGGAGACAACAGTCGGTGTGAGATTTGAAAATAATAACAATCTACAATCTACCAGGGGCCACGAGGGTTGGGGGACGGGGAGCGAAGGAGGAAGGGACAAAAAAGAGGAGCTGATCCCAAGGGCTTACTGGAAAGTAAATGTCTAGAAAAGAACGATGGGATAGATACACAAATATGTCGGGTACAATTGATGTATGGATTGTAACAAGAGTTGTAAGAAGCCCCAATAAAATGATTTTTAAAAATAGGCTGAAGGTAGAGTTTAGCAAATAAGCATTTGTTGGAGTTTTTAAACATATAATTCACATATATGTGAATTAAAATATAATTTTTTGCCTTTATAACCCCAACTCAGCATACACACACAAATGCGTGCATACACTGTTTTATTGCTAGCATGTATTTACAGTTTGGAAAAAATCCAATGTTTCAGCCACCTGTTTTGAAAAGCAAATTCTGCTGGACTGCTGTAGAATAAAAGTGGTTAATTTTAGCTTTGCTCAACAGAAGAAAGATGTGTTCTTAGAAATAGCGGTTGAAGTCCGTTCAGTCATAATCAAATTTTACTCTGATGCAGCTCTAAAATGTACTGATTTTGCATATGGAATTAAGAAGCAAGTTGTTTTTTTAAACTTTGAAGAAATTTAATATTGTGCAATGTTGAATTTGGGGGCCTATTGGATATTATACGCACTTTACTATGAATCACTATATGTAAAAGCTCAATTCTAGGGTGTCTTCTTACGTAACCTTGAATTTTTATTTAACAATAGCAATAGTGTAGTATGACTAACACTTATTTAGTACTTTTCATGTTATATTATTCTAAGGATTTTATAACTTCATACTGACTTCATGTTCCTGGGTGTCTATCATTCTTACTGCTTTACAGATAAGGTACTAAGGCACAGGGAAATACATGGAGGCCAGGGTTCCAGTTCACTCTGTCTGTGTGTACATAGCCATAATGCTTCTCTGAGAAGCAGCCAGCCCACAGGGAAACAGCACCCCAGCCTGTGGGACCACAATGTGTTAATGGGATCAGGTATCAGGCATCAAAGACCCAGAACAAAAAATCATATCATTGTGGATGAGGGGGAGTGCGGAGTGGGGACCCAAAGCCCATCTATAGGCACCTGGACATCCCCTTACGGAAGGGTCGTGGGGAGGAGAAGAGCCAGTCAGGGTGCAGTATAGCACTGATGAAACATACAACTTTCCTCTAGTTCTTTAATGCTTCCTCCCCCCACTATCATCATCCCAATTCCACCTTACAAATCTGGCTAGACTGGATCATGTACATGTGTACAGATAAGAGCTGGAAACACAGGGAATCCAGGACAGATAAACCCCTCAGGACCAATATTGAGAGTAGCCATACCAGAGGGTAAGGGGAAGATGTGTTGGTGGGGGGGAGGGGGAAACCGATCACAATGATCTACATAGAACCCCTTCCCAGGGGGACAGACAACAAAAAAGTGGGTGAAGGGAGACATGGGTCAGTGTAAGACATGAAAAATAATAATTTATAAGTTATCAAGGGTTCATGAGGGAGGGAGGGAGGGTGGGGGAGGAAAGGGGAAAAATGAGAAACGGATATCAAGGGCTCAAGTAGAAGAAAATGTTTGGAAAATGATGATGGCAACAAATGTACAAATGTGCTTGACATGATGGATATATGGATTGTGATAAGAGTTGTACGAGCCCCCAATAAAATGATTTTTTAAATGGTGCTTCTCTTAATCTCTTATTACTAATTTTATTACTTTTATCGCATTAGATGATGAGACATGTAAGATATACCCCTAAACACCCCATGGCCCCCTCTGTCTCGTCTAGTGTTCAGGGTCCCATTGGGAGCTAGACTCCAGGCATTTTCTTAAGGCTCATAAGACCAGTTGTCCCACCCTTTCAACACTCTTACCCTCTTGAATATATTTGATATACTAGTTGGTGCTGATCAGTGAACATTGTGCCTTATTGAGTAAAATGAAGGCTTAGTAATACTAAGACAGACTGTTTCAAGATTAGTTGCCCAGTAGCATTTATGTTTTACGCAGAATCTCAGTAGCTTACCCTGATCATTCTAGTGTCTTTACCACCTCTTACTTCAGCCAAGTTTGTCACAACTGTGTGTGTGTGTGTGTGTGTGTGTGTGTGTGCACGCGCATGCGTGCTCTCATAACATGGCAATAGGTTGGCTGTGCCTCAGCTGGCCTCTGCTTATCTGGGCTTGAAGTAGCTTTTTGTTCTCCACCCAGGCTAAAGAAGTTGCACGTTTTCATCCTGCAAGTCCCCCAGTGTTTGGATCCTCTCTCTTCCGTTCATTTCTGCTCGCTTAGGAGCATACTTTCAGTCAAATGTAGCTAACTAATAACAATAAACACTCATTACCAATGTTCTGTCTCAGAGCCTCTTCACACAGAGTGCAAATTAAGGAGAAGTACTTTCTCCCAGTTTGTTTTACTAAATATTTTGTTACTGCACAATTTGGTTCACCATTTTTTCCTAACTCCAGAATTAATGTCCTCACCACCCACTGCCTGGCGTTGATGGGATGTCATGTGTCTTTGTTATAGCAAGCAGCGTCTCAGCAGTGATTTCAGTGGTAATTAACTCTTGTGGCAGTAACAGCCTGACTCTGTGGATTACAACAGCAAGCAGTTATTTGATATTTATACTGCATAAGTATTTTTTTTCTCTGTTGGCTATTTTTTTTTTTCTATTTTTTCTCTCCGTTTATTAGCTCAGCCTAACATGCATTCTCATTTCCCAACTGAAGGAGTCGTGTGGCCCTTTGTGTTAAACTACTCACATAGTACAGGGCCAGAGTAGGAGACTGAGCCAAATAAGTTTATGTAATATGCTCCCATCGCAAAGCATGTTAATTAATGAAGTCCAAAGTCAGAAGAGGGTCGAAGGGTACACTTTACCTACAGGGAAACCTAGCAAAGAAGGGGTGTGAGCAAATAAAGTGGTGTGTTGATGATTCTGTCTGTCTCATTTAGGATTGACACTTGATCTAAAAGAATGCTTTCTCTTTGTTTCATCTGTTTGTTTATATTGAACTGGCCAGGTATAAATCAAGACTCCAAGGACATTACTGCCTACCACACAGTGTTTCTTACAGCCATATTAGGAGGAACTATAGTCATTGTCATTGGATTTTTTGCTATCCTCCTTTGTTATTGCAGGTAAGAACAGGCTTAATCACTCTGTATAAATGCAGAAAATTATGTAGTGTTTCATGCATATTCTGAGCATTACAATGTTTGTACGTGGAAATTGGCTATTTGACCCTTAAAATGTGTTAAAATAAAGAATATATTCTTATTATTATATATTTTTATATAATTTTATATATTATTATATAATATAATAATTATATAATATAATAATTATATAATAATTATATAATAATATATAATTATATATATAATAAGAATATATTCTTATTATTAGAGCAAAATAAAGATTAGCGATATGTTTATTGAGGCTTGGAAATCCTAACTTTTAAGTATTTGTTTTATCTTCTCTTTGACTCTAGGGATAAGTGTGGCACTCCACAGAAAAGAGAAAGAAACATCGCAAAGCTCGAGGTCCTCAAGAGAGACCAAACCACCTCAACGACACATATAAACCACATTAGTTCAGTCAAAGTCGCGTTGAAAGGTCAAGACCGGTCGCAGTTCTTGAACCCCAAAAGCGCTTCGTACAGCCCTCACAAAAAGGAACCGCTGAAGGCAGGCGCAGAAGAAAGAGTTTCGATGGTAAAAACGCGGGACAATTTTAAAATCTATAATGAAGATGTATCATTTCTCTCAATCCACCAAAATAATTCCTCACGAATCCCGGCTCATCCTTTGGAGCCCAGTATAAGATCCAAGCAACCTCCACATATCAACAGCCTGTCTCCATCTCTCAGTGATCCTCCAGAGGAAAAGAGGTATCTCTCAGGCAAGGAAGAGGTATATGGGCGGTCCCACCTTCCTGAACAGCTGATGCACATTTACAGTCAGCCCATTGCCATCCTTCAAACATCTGACCTCTTTTCTACTCCCGAGCAGGTGCATACTGCTAAATCAGCTACTTTGCCCAGAAAGGGGCAGATAGTCTATGGCCAATTGATGGAACCAGTAAACAGAGAGAACTTTACACAGACTTTGCCGAAACTGCCAATGCATTCTCACGCCCAGCCCACAGATGCCAGGGAAGAGAATATTGTCCTCGAAGGTCAGCAGAGCCTGCCATCTCAAACGTCCGATTGGAGCCGGTATTCCACCAGTTTACTAGAATCCGTCTCAGTTCCTGGAACCCTGAATGAAGCAGTTGTAATGACTCCATTTTCGTCAGAGCTTCAAGGCATTTCCGAGCAGACCCTCCTGGAACTGTCCAAAGGAAAGCCCTCCCCTCATCCTAGAGCCTGGTTTGTGTCTCTTGATGGAAAACCGGTTGCCCAAGTGAGGCATTCGTTTATAGACCTGAAAAAGGGCAAGAGAGCGCAGAGCAATGACACCAGTCTGGACTCGGGCGTGGACATGAATGAGCACCACTCCAGTCGAAAGCTTGAGAGGGAGAAAACGTTCATCAAAAGCATGCATCCACCGAAGATCCTTTACTTAGAAGACCTAGACCTGAGCAGCAGCGAGAGTGGAACCACGGTCTGCTCCCCCGAGGACCCCGCTTTAAGGCACCTCCTAGATGGAGGGAGCGGGGCTGTCATAGAAGAGGCCCCACGAAGAAAAAGCACTGTTGAAGATTTTGAAGCCAATACATCTCCCACCAAAAAAAGGGGCCGACCACCACTAGCCAAAAGAGATAGCAAGACGAACATCTGGAAGAAGCGAGAGGAACGCCCACTAATTCCCCTCAATTAACACCAACAGTGACTGTGTCTCTGCTGTCTATCCATGCTTCTTGTAAGTGGTGGCGGGAACTGCCAAGGAAACAGACGGAGGGCAGTCTCCTGGCCCCTGGACATGTCTAAAGCAGAGCAAATGGTCAAATGACGACATGACAGTAACCAGAGGGAAGGATACTGAGGAATTCTTTTTTTCAGCCTCTTCATTTATTTTGGGGGGGTTGATTTTGAGCTATCCATGTTTTCCACATATAAAATAGCCTCAAGGTGTCAGTTTTCAGTCTGCTAATTTGACCCCTGTCTTAAGAATAACATAGTAAAATGTGTATTATTAAAGTTGCTTCCAAAAATGTTACCTTTGCCTGGATGACCACCTCCCCTCCCATGAAACATTTTAAAAATGAAACCTAGCTTCTTCAAGCTTCATCATCTTGTGAAAATGTCACTATTAATGTTGTTCTCTGCCTATACTCCAGTGTAACTTGCTAAGTGGTATAGCCTGATGTCGGTGGGCCAAGCCACACTTTCTTTTCTGTGGTAAGCAGCGTGTGTGTTGTATCATCCAAGCAAACTGCCCCATGCAGTTCGTAGAAGTTAGGCAAGGGCTACTTGTGAAAGAGGGTGGATGCCAGCACTCTGGTTGTTTGAGGGGAGCTTCGCAGAGTAAGTGATAAAATGATAATTTATCACTGAGAAATCTGAAAAATTAAAGCTCTGGTATTCAAGCTTTACTTCACATTCTCCTCCCCTTCTGAACAAAAGTGAGCTTGGTAATGTCGGAGGGTGGGGGGCAGGGAAACTATTCATCTGTCTAGGGGGAGATGGCTGCCCGTAGGGCTGAGTGATGCGCGTATGCTAATGCCAGATTCCTGTTTAGATTCACCACACACAAGCCCAGCTGTTCAATGGCTATCAGACTGGCTTTTCAAAGTCTGGTAAGTTTCTTGATACCAAAATTTTCATAAACTAAACCTTTCACCCCCAACCCAAACCCTAAAATTTTGACAAGAAAAAGAAATGCTTTTTTCCAGAGGCTCAAAAGTGCCTTCAAGATAGTACTATTTTCAGATGTTACTCATTTTTTCTGTTGACATTCACATCAGATGTTTGAGAAAAACAGTTCTGATTTTGTTGGGAAAAGATGCTTTTCCTTCAAACGTGCGGCTTTCGCAACTCTCTGAAATGTTTACTTTCAAAAGTGCTGCACCCATATTGCTTTCATCATTGCTGAGAATTTAGACTGTACACATCTAACCACTGATTTTTTAATTTTATTGTCTTCCTAAAAGTAAAAAGGCTCTTTTTAAAATTAAGTTGATTCGTTTTATTTTTCTTAAATTTTTTATGAAGGCAAAGTGTCGGAAGCAGCAACCCCTTTCTCAGGGGAACAGTATGGCTCAGTGGCTTTATTTCTCATTTCGGGCCGTGTAACATGGGAGCAATAGAGACCCACACCACAGGAACAAGGGGAAAACTGGAATAATCACACTAGACGTAGTAAAATTCGTAGGTAGGTGCCCAATGGAAAACAACGTCTTTCTCTTTGAGGAAGTAGACTTCAGCCATCATCCTCTGCACCCACCATAACCACTTCTGAAATATCCAAACTGTCAGATAAGACTTCAACTTTTCTGTATTAACCCAAAGAATTTAAAGACCTAGACACATTGGGGTATATGTTACTCTACTACACATAAGAGAGAAATGTTTTGGGTAATACTTAGTCTTTTTTATTTTATTTTAATGTAATGACCAGCAATTAGCATAAGCTTTTTAATGGTCTTAAACAAAAAGATCCATTAAAGTGTCATTATAAAAATGATTTGGAAAAGGTTGAGTTAATTGCTCTGCTGAAGTGCCTTTGATATAGACTTGCTTTATTGGAAGAGTATAATGACATCTTTCTTAAGAGTACATTTTCTTTCTGCTAGCCAAGTTAGACAGATGTGCAGTTTTTAATTCAAAAGGTATAGACCTAGTGTTTCATGTTGGAACAATGAATTTTTGCATGTCAGTAACATCTCTTTCGTGTGTGTGTAATTTTTTTAATCCAGTATATATATATATATATATATTGATTATGTTGGAGTGAAGTTTTAAAATAAACAGTAAAATGTCATACCTCTTCCATTTTTAAATATGTTTTTCCCACATTTAAGTGGAAACGTCTTATCTTTCAGAAGACTCATTCTGACATTCAAGTCTGACACCTAATTTATTCATCTGATATAAGGAAAATGAGCAGGTGTATCCCACGGGCTTTTCCAGAAATCCTTGTTTGATTTCAGACTAAGATCTTAATTTTTATACACTGCACATTCTGTTTTCAATAGGGAAGAGTAGGCAACTAGCCTTTCTAATAATCAAATGTTTGTAACTTCTCATTTCTGAGTAGTTCACAAATTTCCTGTTAAAAAGCAGAAGCCATGCACTTTTTCTTATCCCAAGTGATGATAACCCAACAATATTTGCAATATTCTTAAATTTTTAAACCGAAAACCCGTTTTTTTGGCAAAAGTAAACAGATAATTTTGGTCACAAATTGTTAACATTTGTGGATCAATTGTATATACTTTGGCTATATCTTAAGGCAAAATTATCCCTCAATTAATGATGGACTCATTTACTAAAGCACAGCTATATGTATTTTTGAATACATATTATGACCTTGAAACTTTATAAAATCCATTTTTATGACATGTATGCAGTTGTGTAGGGACCGAGCCCTTTTGTACTGTTGAGTATCTACCATGCAATCACAAACGTTGAGGAACAAAGGCGCCCCTTTGCTCTGGGAATCATTCTCAGATCGCCTTCTCTGTTGGCATCTTCTGGCTTCAAGGTCTAGTAGAGTTATGGAGATCTGTGATCAAAGAGTGTCCCTCATGATTCGCCATTCCCAGAAAAGGTGAAACTCAAAAACGACACATTATTTTGTCAGATAGTTAATTCATTTCCCACGTGGCAGTACCCTAACAAATTTTGATCGTATTTGTTCTCATCTCAGATCTAGAATTGACATTTTGCCCGCATTTCCACGTGTTTGTTTTATATTCTCTCACTAGAGGAATCTCATTGCCGTGTATTTACTATTGAAAACTATAACAATCTGGGGATTTGTAAAAATGTTACACATAATTCATTAAAGATAATAAAATCTTTTAAAAGTAGTTGATGCATTGTTTGATTTGGGTGATTTACAAAACATTCTTGCATAGATTGTTCATCTAGTAAATATGAGATTTTTCTTCATTACATGCCCCAGAGTATACCATTTTGTTTGGAATATCCTTTATAGAATGAACTTAATTTTCTCTCCAAAGTTTACAGGTTTACTATTGGTGCTAGATAACATGATATGTAAAAGTTATTTCCCATCCAATGAAGAGATGTACTTAGTACAAAATAAAATAATCCTCATAACACTTAAATGGGGAAATGATACACCATCTCCTCTCTCTCAAAAGGGAAACAAAATTTTTAGTATACTTTTTAGATCTAAGGATAAGTGAAGGAGCCCTGGTACATGGTGGGTTACACAGTGGGCTGCTAGCCACACGATCAGCAGTTTGAAACCACCAGCTGCTCTACTGGACAAAGAGGAGCTTCTCGCCCCAGGCTGTAGAATTGGAGCCTGGAAAACCCACAAGGCAGTTCCACCCTGCCCTATAGGGTCACTATGAGGTGGAATTGTCTGGATGACAATAAAGGAGAGTTTCTTTGCTTGAGGATTAAGGGATAATACAAAGTCTACTTGCCCTTACCATTTTAGAACTTCTCCAAGAAATATTCAGTGCTGCTGATTGAAAAATATTTGTTGTTGTTAGGTACCACTAGGTTGGTTGTGACTCACAGCAACCCTGTACACAGCAGAATGTCAATTTGCCTGCATTGTCAGACTCGGTTTTATATTTGATCCCATTGTTGCAGCCACTGTGTTAATCCACCTTTCAATGTCTTTTCTTTTTTAAATAATTTTATTGGGAGCTCTTACATCTTGTATCACAATCCATGCATTCCTCCAGTGTGTGAAGCACATTTGCACATATGCCACCATAATCATTTTCAAAGTATTCTCTTCCTACTTGAGCCCCTGCTATCAGCTCTCCATTTCTTCCCCCTCCCTCCTCTGCCCTCCCACCCACATGAACCCTTGATAAGTTAAAGATTATTTCCATATCTTACATAATTCTCCGTTGCCCCTCACCTACTTTTCTGTTGTTCATCCCCCTGGGAGGGAGTTATATATTGATCCTTATGATCGATTTCCCCTTTCTCCCCCCACCTTCCCCTAATCCTCCTGGTATCTTTATTCTCATTGTTGGTCCTGAGGGGTTTATCTATCCTGGATTCCCTGTGTTGCGGGCTCTTATCTGTAGCAGTGTGCATGTTCTGGTCTAATCCGATTTTTAAGGTAGAACTGAGGTCATGAAAGTGGGGGGAAGGAAACAACAAGGAACTAAAGGAAAGTGTGCTTCAGTGGTGCTATACTGCAACCTGACTGGCTCATCTCTTCCCTGTGACCCCTCTGTGAGGGGATGTCCAGTTGTCTACAGATGGGCATTGGGTCTCTACTCCATAGCCCCCGCCCCCCCATTCACCTTGTGTATGGTTTTGTTCTGGGTCTTAGAAGCCTGATACCTGATCCCATCGACACCTCATGATCACACAGGCTGGTGTACTTCTTCCATGTGGGCTTTGTTGCTTCTGAGCTAGATAACCACTTGTTTATCTTCAATCCTTTAAGACCCCAGACACTATATCTTTTGATAGGTGGGCACCATCAGCTTTCTTCACCACTTTGCTTTTACACCCATTTTGCCTTTGTGAAGGTGAGCATCAGAATGCTGGATTGTTAGAACAAAGTGTTCTTCTGTTAAGGGAGTACTTGAGTCAAGGCTCAATGTCCATCTGCAATCTTAATAATATATAGATATGAGTACATAGTTCTATTCCCCTCTCATGTATGTATTTACATATATGCATGCCTGTATATTTAGGCCTCTATAAAGTCCTTTGCCTCCTGGTTCTTTCCTCTATTTCCTTTTGCCTTCCTCTTGTCCCACCATCACGTTCGGGCTTCATTCAAGTTTACTAATTCCTAGCCGTTACATTGCCCTTGATTAAGCCCCACTAGGCATCCTATGACCTTCCTTCCATTGATTATATAGTACACTTGTTCCTGTGTCCCTGGGTTGGTTACCCACCCTCTTCCTTTCTCCCACCTCCCCTTTTTCCATATCCCCCTGGAACCATGGTACTTTGAGTACTCTTTCCTAGTACCACAATTCAAGTGCATTCATTCATCTTCAGTTTAACATAGTTCAAACGCATCAATTCTGTTGTGTTCCTCTATCAGTTCTTGATCATTGTGACAGCTAATGATATGCTGGAAAATGTTAAGCAGTATTTCGCTCTAAACTCTAACATCCCTGGGTCTTTTTGTAGGTGGATTCCTAGATGCTGATGCACAGTGAGGCAGCTTCATCCGATGAGCATGCGCTTTAATGCATTCTAGTGTGACTTTCTGCACAAATATGCTTTCTGTTAGCCTACATTTGTAACTAATACCAAAATAAACCTTCCTTTTCCACTTGTCTTCTTAAGTTTTCCCTATATTTTTAGCCTTAGATTATTTGGGAACTGTAGACTTTTGTCCACTGAATTAAGTTGTTTTTCAGTCACCATCAGCATTCAGCAACATAAAATGGTCTCAATCAATCACAATTTATAGTGTTAAACACCAAAATGTTAATAAGCTCAATTACAAATAATATAACAACTTATATGCCACATATATGGCAACTTTCATAGGTGCACGATTGTTCCCACTATCGTAGCTATTTTTCTAAGTATAAAGATATTTTGACTACTTGTGGTTTGTCAAAATATTACAATAATTTTTATCCCCACATTTGTAACTTCAGTAGATGAAAGTCTATTTCTGTCCGAAAAGTGCCTATGTTAAGAGACACATACACTTGTTTCCCTTTGATAAAGCTTTTCTTAGCTGAACCAGATATTTCCTAATTTTTGAACTTATACATCTGCTATGTTATGATATCAGATAATCCTTTGAGAACACCACAATTTCCCACCTGAGGTGTTCTCCCCGCCCCTCCCTCTTCTTCCTCAGGGTGTAGAGGTTTCAAAGTTTGTACGCATATGTTGACTGGTTCTAATCCTTGTAGACCTTATTAAAGCCCCAGGCTATTGCCGAGAGTCTGATTCAAAACAAACCAGACAGTGGCTTTCCAAGGAGCCTTTGGACTTATACTGAGCAGCTTAGTTAAAATAACAACAAACTTTTCATAAATATGATACTTAGAAGCATCATTATGGCTCTTAAAGCAACTTGGGATAGATATTTCAAAATAATTTTTACTTTATTTATTCAAATAAATAAAATCCCAGAAAATATATCATTGTTTTTTAATTTGTTTTAACATTAAAAGTCCCTTTTGCTTGAAGATAAACAAGCAGCCATCCAGCTGAGAAGCATCAAAGCCCACATGGAAGAAGCACACCAGACTGTCTGACCACGAGGTGCAGAAGGGACCAGTTATCAGACATCAAAGATCTAAAAATCAGGTCAGTGGGTGCCCACCTTCCTGATACAATCACTGAAAACAAAGAGGTGCATAAGCAAAGGTGGCGAAGAAAGCTGATAGTGCCTGGCTATCAAAAGATATAGGATCTGGGGTCTTAAAGGCTGGAAGATAAACAAGTTGCCAACTAGCTCAGAAGCAACAAAGCCCACATGGAAGAAGCACACCAGCATGTGTGACCACAAGCTGTCAAAGGGATCGGGTGTCAGGCATCAAGGAACAAGAAATCATGTCATTGTAAATGTGGGTGAGTGCAGAGTGGAGACTCAGAGTCCATCGGCTGGCAACAGAACACCCCCCTGCTGAGGCGTTTTGGGGAGGAGACGAGCTAATCTGGGTGCAGGGTAGCAACGATGAAACATATACCTTTCCTCTAATTCTTTAATGCTTCCTCCTCCCCCAATATCATGACCCCAATTCTGCCTTGCAAATCTGGCTAGACCAGAGGATGTACATTGGTACAGATAGCAACTTGAAACACAGGGAACCCAGGATAGATGACTTCTCAGGACCAGTGGTGAGAGGGGCGATGCCTGGAGGGTGAAGGGAATGCGGGGTGGAAGGGGGCAGCCAATTACAAGAATCTAAGTATAGCCACCTCCCTGGGGAATGGACAGCAGAGAAGGGGGCGGAGGGAGACATCAGACAGTGTAACTTATGACAAAACTATAATAATTTATGAATTATGAAGGGTTCGGGGTGGGGGGGGGAGGAAAATGAGCAACCGATATTGAGGGCCAAAGTAGAGGGCAAATGTTTTGAGATTGATGAGGGCAACAGGTGTACATATGTGCTTGACTCAATGGATGTATGTATGGACTGTGATAAGAATTGTACGAGCCCTCAATAAAATAATTTTTTAAATCCCCTTTTAAAACTAAATTTATTCAGATTAAACTTATCTCTAATATTCATTATTCTGCTATGTACATATCATTTGAAACCCACATTTCTAATTCAATAATTGTGGAAAGATCTATTAGAGAAAAAATATATACAATCAATGTGTTTTTCAGACATTTCCTCGTTATTTTTTCATCTAGTGCTTATTACTGATTTTTTTTCCAAACATACCTTGCTTTTCACAATTTCATGGGTTATTTAACAAAAAAATACAGTCCTGCAAATTTGAGTCCTTTTCACTTAAGATGTTGACGGCAAGGAGATGAGGTTTCAGAATTTAGGAGTGCACCGGACATTTCCAGAGCATGTTTATATTTTTTTAAAAAAGAAAAAAGCAATTGCTTGTTAGTAGATAAAATTGCACATAAGTATGTGCATATGCATACAAACATACACAAAGCTCTCCAAATGAAAATTGTGCTAAAGGTCTTTCCACATACCTGTTTCGTAAAGACTTAGTTTATCAAAAACTATTCATTGCTACTGGTTTGCCATTACCCTTTTTCATGCGAAACAAGAATTGTCTGTAATGAATGAGCTTAGAAAAAAAATTGTACTTGATCTACTTGATATTTGAATCGTGTCTCTTTCTACTTTTAGAAGTTAAGGTAAAAGATTACACCCTCCAGTCACTTCCAGCGGCCCACATGGACTGGGGA